CACAATGTCCTCATTCTTTTTGGTAGCTGAGATCTGGGATTTTCAGCTGGCATACCTAAAAAAGTCATTGCTTTCATTTTCAACATTAGGGTAGGGTGGGAAGGACATCATTTCAGGATTTCAAAAAAATTATTTCTTCATGGATTTCATCCTGTCCAAAGATGTTCTATCCATTGAGATTTCAGGTACTGTGAGGCCTTTCCAACAGACATGATTTTTCTTATGCTGAGACAAATAATTCTTAAGGGCAAGCCAGTTCAATTAAAACAAGGCTTTTTTTTTTTTTTTTTTTTTTTTAAATACATTCTAAAAATTGATCAGGATAAACTCTTATTTCTGGCTGCACAGAACTACAGGAAAACAGGGAGGCTTTAGATCAAATTTTTGGAATGGGTTTCTGAAAAAAGGCTTAGTGGAGTAAAAGAAGCTAAATTATATTTTAAGAAAATGCTTCCTGGGACCAGCAGATGGTGTAATGGCTACATCACTGGACTCCCATATAGTCAGTCAACTGTGGTTCAAGTCTCGGACCCGGTGACTTAAACTCATGCCCGGTGTGTGTACATGCTTGCGTGCCCAGGATCCCAAGAGGAGAATGGAGGAGAAGGGATTGCAGTGTGCCATCACCTCTGGGGGGGTGATTTCTTGCTCTCTGTCTTTCTGGTAAGTGGATGTACCCTATAGCAAAAAAGCCTCTCCCCCCCCCAAAAAAAAGAAAGAGCTTCCTACTTGCCTGTATTAGAGAATTTTTGGTCTGATTGGTTCATGACAAAGATGCCATATTACTTGGGGTGAAAGTTTATTCATGCCTTCTCATCAGGAATTACTAGCCTCTCAGTGTGCAAGCCACTTAGCCAACCCAGGAGACAGAACACAGAGAAAACCCAGTCTTGCCTGCCTCTTCAGAATTGGGTTGGAGGGTGGGTAGAATATGCATACAGAAGGTACTCGTTAAATAAATATGATAGCTAACCAGTATGGGATTCATCATTCCTGAACTGGGCTTCCAGCCAGACTGGGAAATAGCTGGGAATCTCAGGTCTTGACCCTAGTTCTAAAGCTGGTACAGATTGTATCAGGCCCTCTGCTTGCCAGCTTCTACTAAGGAGATGTTTAATGCAAATGTAATAATAACCCCTTTCAATTTTAGTGTTTTGCCATTAACTAACAAATCTAACTTTCACAAAAGGCTGTTACCAGTAATGGTACCAGCTTAGCTGGAATACCAACTTCCCTGCAGTCTGATATGGAATCTCACAAAATATCATCTCTTTTTTGATGGTTATAAAGATGCATATTTGTAATATGTACTTTTCTCTCCAGTATGAAAAATAGCCTGTGAAAAAAATAAGCTTTTGAGAAGGCTTGATTTTTTTATTCACTGACAACTCAGAACTAATTTGGGCCAAGTAACCAAATTTCTTTTGTCTTTCTAGACTCAAACTAAAAATAGAGTTAAATTTAAGATACCTCACATGTACACATACACATACAATCAGATGAACATTTTTTTCTCTGTTCATGCCTGTTTTTGTCCACTTTCTATATAGCCTTAGCCAGGAATGAGCTCCTAGATGTTTAAAATGACCAGAGTGCAGAGCTGAGCCATTTATTCTGGTTGCTTTTAAAGTAAATAAGATACATAGAAAACTATTAGGTAAGAAGTCTGGTATTACTATATATTTGCTTAAGGGATAGCGTCTAAATTTGGCTCCTAGGAGTCACTTCAGTTTTGTGGGTTGGTGAAATCAACTCCATGTCACTATCCATTTATCCCACCATACACACATACTCAGTCTATACACATACAAGGTTTGAAAACCAGTAATCCATTGCACCTAACTCAGTTTTTCATCCCCAAAGCCACGTGGTATGTGTAATCTCAAAGCATGCTATTCTCTGTGCTTAATCTGAAGAAGAAACTAAGAAAGTATTGCCCTGTTCACTGGAGCCACCTAAAAAAAATCTGACCTAAATTATCTCATTTGATTTTCTGTAGACTGATGATAATGTCTTCTCCTTGAGTGCTTCCATTTCTAATCAGTGATGCTATTTTTCACTTGGTAGTGATTGGTGTCCTTTCCCCACTACTGTTTACCTTAGATAAAATGGGGTAAAAGGAAAAATATATCTGCACATGTGCCAAAAAGAAAGGCAGCAGGAATTTGTAGCTCTATTTATTTGTGCCTTCATACCACACATTCACCTGGAAGGTTCAGAGGTAATGCTCAATTTTTAGTTGTATCAACTTTCAGTAGATCAGTTTTAAGTACAGATTCAGAACAGGTAGAGCTAAGAGGAAATTTAGTTACTATACCACTGTCATTGAATTTTTAGAGAAACTAAAGCTTAGTCATTTACCTAAGGTAATTCAGCATATTAGTGGCAAGATTAAAGTTTAGTTTCTTTATTATAATGCCTCCACTTACTGATTTTCCATGAACGCTATATTTGAAATCATATGAGAAAAGATTCAGTGACAATTCCCTCTCTGTCTCTCAAAGCGATGGTTCCATGTGTTGGGTTGTTTCCATTGCTCTGCTCCTAGTGGGCTCAAAAGTTGAACATGATGGCAGAGTTCAAGGACTCAGCAGAGGTTGGGCAAGCGGCCCAGTGATTTCTCTTGTCTCAGACATTTCATATGAGGAGGCCAGTATGGAGCCTGCAGATTTTTCTGTTGAGTGGAGGCAGGATGTCTTAGGGCAATTAGTAGGGTCTACTGTCTCTGATAAAGGCCTAGATAGTGCCTTTGTTGCCTGATTGATTTAGAGATAGACATTTTGAATTTAGTCCAGTAATGAGTAAAGTAGGGAACAGGGCTTCATTAGTTCTTATTATTAAAAAAAAATTACTTTTTTCTAAATAAAGTGATTAAAGTGCTAGCCTCTCCAAAGACTGGTGCACCACTTAACTTTTTAGATCTTTTCCTTCCTTTAATAAAGTGAATATAGTGCTAATAAAAGATGCTAGTAGCAGTTCAAAGACTGATATTCTAGATTAGAACTGGTAGAAATAGTTCAGATCATTCTTTTTAACTTTCTTTTGGACACAAGTTTGGAATGGGGAAAAGAATGAGAGGTTCCTATCCACCTGGCTCCCATTTCTTAAGATTTCCTAGAAAAAAAGATAACAGGTTCTATTTCATACCCTCCAAAGCTAGAATACAGTTTAGCATTGTGGTCTACACACTCCAAGATAAGGGAAAGCAATGACTCACTGATCTTGGACCTTTGTATAAACGCTTTTACCATTCAAGTCTCAAAGCCAAATCCTTTTGGCTGCTAGTGCCTTTTCTTCACCTAAATCACTCCAGTTCATTGTCTCAGCCTGCTTTTTAGGCCTACTGTATAGGCATCAGCTATTGTACCACAGTGAATGGAAGAAAACTCTAGAAGATACTTTAGGAAAGAGTTAGGCTTCCTGTGACTCATCTCTTCACATCACTCCAACTACATTTTTCTCCCCCATTTTGGGATGCTCTAAAGACACAGGTGAAAGCCCAAGCCCCAGTACAAACTGATTGTCAGCCATCTCACCATTCTGCCTACAATTTTGATCAAAGCCAAGCATTAAAAGTGCAAAGAAAGAAATGCAACCTCAGTATCCTGGCCCTGGGCCAAACCAGGGAGAATGCTACAGACAGTAACGCCTTCATTTCAGGCCTAGTGTTGGTGACAGAGAGTGGACAGGGCCTGCTGTCTCCTTGCTTACCTCCCATCTGTGAATGTCCCTGTTCTTCAGCA